GGGCGCATGTGCTCACCAGAAAGACAGAGAGAGACAAAAAGCGAGAAATCACCCCCCCTGGGGGAATGGTCACGCCGCAATCCCTTCTCCTCCATTCTCTCGAGATCTTGGGCGCACGTGCACACACGTCTAGTGTGAGTTTAAGTCACCGGGTCTGGGACTTGAACTGTGGTCGACTACGGAAGTCCAATGACATAGCTATTATACCAACTGCTGGTCCCATGACTACTGCATTTTTAATAACTAACTTTGCCATTTATCACATTAGTATTAGTGTATTCAAAACTGAGAGACTACTCTAACGTGTACAGTACATGTTAGTGCAGTCAAGCCACCCTGGCATTTTTGGTGAAGTAACTGACATAGGTGTAATGCAGAGTTACTCTATTAATAAATCAGAGTTTACTAATATTTTAGTCACAGTTTAAGATTTATCTTCACAATTGAAAATAATGTGTGCACACATTTATTACCAGTTTCGCTCTCAGAATGCAAGACCCAAAATGATCTGAAGATTTAAAAAGTTTTCTATTTAAAAAATTGAAACAGTATAGAAAGAGTCTTCCTCAAAGTTTTCCATGAATTTATATGTAGTGCCATCCAGACCAACCTAATTTGGATTAATTTTTGGATAATTTTATTTGGAGTCTTTTAAAAGGTAGGTTTCATTGTTTATACATGTTTTTCTATTATTAAGTTTCCTTGTTCATTTCCACTAGAATTTGTATAGCAGGGTAATTTAGTTTACGAAGTGAAATTTCATTGCCATCTTGTGCAAGAATTCTATGCACCTAGTTACGGGAAGCAAACGTTAAGCCCACTGTCCACCTTGTGTGTGTGTTTTCAAGGAATGCACCAATCTCTGCTGTGAGGCCACAACCTGTAAACTGAAGCCTGGAACTAACTGTGCAGGAGACACTTCGAACCATGTCACGTAAGACCTTTTTTCCCTTCGTTCAGAAACACTTTCTTACCTTCATTTCAGATTTGAGAACGATGTGATCCTGAGTCTATACTACATTAAAACTGGCCAGCAGGTAGCTTAGTGTTTAAGGGGCTGGACTCCCACATGGCCAACCATGGGTCAAGTCCCAGACCTGGCGGCTCACTTTCTCACTTTGCCTCTCTCTCTCTATCAAGTGCATGTGCCTATAGCTAATAATAATAATAATAATGATAATAAAGTTAATATGTAATGCTTTAAAAAATACTAAAACAATGCCTTTTTTAAAAAAATACTTTTTAAAATGTTTATTTCTTCTTCTGAGAGAAAGTCACCACTAACAGTGTCTTTGTGTTGTAATCCACTCCCATCTCAGCTAGCGTGGATCGTAGACACACTGCGTATGCCGTGTGCTCAGAGAGGTCCCAGGGTGTCAAATAAGGGCATGTGGAGACACGTGAATGAGTAAAGTGGCTATTTAACACCTGTAAGATTAGGACACCCAAATCTCTGCTTAAAAGCTTATAAATTCCTTTTTTTTTTTTTGAGAGATTTTTGCTATAGAGCGCGTGCGCCCACCAGACAGACAGAGACACAGAGACAGAAAGCGATAAATCACCCCCCAGGGGGGATGATCACGCCGCAATCCCTTCTCCTCCATTCTCCTCTCGGGATCCTGGGCACACACGCACACACGCCCAGCATGAGTTTTAAGCCACCGGGTCCGGGACGCGAATTGCGGTCAACTACATGGGAGTCTAGTGACAGCCATTACACTGACTGCTGGTTCCCAAAAGCTTGTAAATTCTTGTTAGATAGTGCTGAGTTTAATGCAAACTAAGATGAGAAGGAAAAGTTTGTTCGGTTTGTTTTAAGATTTTTGCCATGCACTCGCTGGAGAGAGACAGTGAGAGGGATGGCCATGTAGCAATCCCTTTTCTTTTATTCTCTTGAGATTTGGGGCTTGCATGCGCATGAGCCTGGAGTAATTTTTGAGTTACTAGGTCCAGGATTTGAATGGTGGTCAGCTATTTGAATGGTGGTCAGTCCAGCACCTTAACCACCATGCCAAATGCTGGCCCCAGGAAAAGTGTATTTCTAAAATGCCTTCATCAATGAGTTCATTTCTTTCTTGGCCAACTACTGATCATTGTAATTTTCAAGGTACTCAGAAAATCAATTGCATTTAAGAACATGCAACAAAATTTGGTGTTTTTATTCCTTTAAAAGCTTCTCAGTGAGCCGTAATTTAGGTATTATTTTTATATCTTATATGACTCTATGTAAGTCAGGGTAAAGAACCCGATTGCTTGGAATATGGTATTTGTTACAGTGAAAAATGATTCTTTGAACATAAAAATGGCAACAACGAAAACAACAGAATTTGAGGAAAGACTCAGGATAAGCAGGATATTCAAAATGTTCATGGGAAAGTGCAAATTATGAAAAAAAATGCATGGATTTCATGTTTCTTTTGCACCAAAATAAACTCGTACTTCATTTCCGTCTTTCCATAAACTTTGTGAAGAATCCTTGTACATTTGGTGGAAGTATTTAATTAGTTTTCTCACCTGTAAAATAGAGCTAATGAGATGACCTCTCAGTAAGATTAATATTTAAATTCTATGCATATTTGTTATCAGTATTTCATAACTTACAATAACCACACAGTTCTCATTGTTCTTTTTTAATTTTTTTGTCTGTTTCTTTTAACCAGAGCGTGAATTCAAATGCCTATTTCACAGTATTTCATAACTTACAATAACCACACAGTTCTCATTGTTCTTTTTTAATTTTTTTGTCTGTTTCTTTTTCTTTTTCTTTTAACCAGAGCGTGAATTCAAATGTCTATTTCACCAAGATGCTACCTTGTCAGCACAAGAATCAAGAACTGTAACCAGACCAAAACTCTTGAGTACTTTCACACTCGCACTGAGATTTGCTTTTTTACCTGTCATTCTATTTTCTAAACCTTTATCAGTCAGGCCAACAGGTAAATAGACATACTTTAGAGAAGTCCCCTGTTTATTTAGGATTGATCTTTCACTTATTTTTAAGGAGTACAAAGCTCTAGCTTAGTTCTGCTCTTTGGAGAACAAAAGCAATTAACCTTTGACTAAAAGTACTTCAAAATGCACTGCTGAATTATTTAGAGTCAATCCATCCAACATCTTAACATTACAAGTGACTTGCATTTAAACTACATGTTCATTTTAATAATGTGGCCTTCACTTGTTAAGTGAAGGCTTGGTAGCAGAAACAAGAACAGACTTCACATCTCCTGTTACCTTCCCTTGCTCATTGAGTGTAACATTTCCCTAAATCTTGTAGAGGCTAATGAAATGCAAGTATTTTAACTATGTTCAACTCTTTACATATGCCTTTTACCGTTACATATAAAGTTGATTTTAACAAATCTATATGGTTTACTTTTTAATTGCACAAAGAAGGCTTCATTCATGTATTGCTATAATGAACCATAATGTCAATAAAAGCAACTTTTGGAAGGTTTTCTGTGTGGTTACTTTCCAAAATGAGTATTTTTAATTTTCTTTGTACGTTGGTGTTAGGTCTAAAAGCCTAATTAGAAAATGTCCCCTTTGCAGGATCAGCAGATGACGTAATGGTTATGTCACTGGACTCTCACATAGTCGACTGCATTTTGAGTCCCAGAAAGAGTGGCTTAAAACTCATGTTGGGTGTGTGTGCATTTGTGTCCAGGAGCATGAGAGGAGAAGGGATTGCGTACTCATATCCCCGGGGCATGACTTCTCACTTTCTGTCTCTGTCTCTCTGGTGAGCGCACATGCCCTATAGTAAAAATCTCTCTTAAAAAAAAAAAAAAGAAAAAGAAAATGTTCATTCTGATCACTTGGCAGTATTGCCACAGACAGCCAGGAAACACCATACAGGAAAGGTCACATCATCTTTTATTTCCCAAAGCGAAATGATGGGAGGCAAGACACACAGAAAGACTAGACTTCTTCTTTACACTTTTCTTTTCTCATTAAATCCTTTTGTAATAATTGCTTGGAAAATTTATTAAAAAATGTAATAGATATCTTTTCTGGATGAATAAAAACAGACATAGGTGGGTCTTCAAAAAGTTCACATAAAATACATATTATGAAAAGACTATGCATAGATTGCAAAATTTCTTGCACCAAAATAAACTAATACTTTAATTCAATTTTTCCATAAACTTTTTGAAGTCTTTATGTATTTCTAAAGAAATTTCTTTCTAAGCATTATTTCTACTGCATACTCCAAATTTTAGTAAGCTGTTGTTTCTTTTGTCTTGGGTATTTATATTAAGTAAAAACGATCATTACAATAATTCAAACAAAATATGTCATTTAATAAAAAATAAACTTTGAAATCAACGGCTTCTTGGGAAGCCCTGCCTGTTGGTATTGGCTTGTCTCCCACTTTGTCACTTCGCTGTTTTCTGGTTGGCACTGCCTGTATTGAGGTGAAGCTGTGTGTCAAGTGCTGTTGACAGCCAGGCTGCAGCCCCTGGGCATGACCTGCCAGTACCTCTGCTGCTCACTGGTCTGATACAAACTTACTAGAAAAGCTTTTAAAGGAAAAAAAGGTTTCTAAAGGCATGGTTTCCCCTGGCCTCACTCACAAGTAGAGAGTCCTTGCAGTAAAATTGCTTGAGCTGCAAGAATTTAAGCCAATAGCGTGGTGGAGATGACCAATTAGCTCTTGCGTTGTATTTGCTAAGTTTCAAGGAATATTGTGAGCTGATTGTTACAATAAATACAGCTGTTACTGGAACCCTACCGGTAAAACTTACAATTAAACCACATACATCAAGAGCAAAGGTAGTATCACAATTGATCACTTCCTAGTATATTTTACTCACCTATGCTCTTATGGTTAATTCTATAATAACTGTGAAGGATATACTATATAAATATATGCTAGCATACGCCTCTTGCCAACTTTGTTAAGTGACATCACTTTAAAATGGGATATAGTAAGAGAGTTTTATCACAAAATGGACAAATGATCAAATCCAGGCTTGCTTTCTTGATTTGTTTATAGTCAATGTGTAAAGAAAGTGATAGAGTATTAACGTGAAATCAAGTCTTGTCTATAGCAATTGAATGTGACTAGTACTAAAGTTGAGAGAATATTATTTTATTATTTGAAAACAGTGTATATTTTATGTGTAATTGTCAGGAGGCATGTGTGTTTTCCAGAGACAGAAAGGGGGCAGAGGTAGAGAAAACACTCTCCAGTGAGGCACGGGCACGCACAATCCCTTTCACTATTTCTCCCTCATTTTAGGATTTGGGGGGCACATGAACACATGCCCAAAGGTGTTTTCAAGCCACCAATGCAGGGATTTGAACTATAGTCAGCCATGTGGGATCCAGCTCGCTACAAACCGGGCTTCATCACTGTGTTATGGGGCCAGCCCCATTATCTGAAAACAAAAGTCAGTCATATCTTTGACCAATGAGTGGAATTCCAATACATGTCTTTGTTGCAATTTTACTCATTCATGTAAACAAAAATATCTGCCACAATATGGAATCGTACTCATTCATTAGCTGCAACCATAGTCTGGCTACAGATGTGAGTCAACAGAGATCAATAGAAACTTTCTAATAGAACCACTTGGCTGTATGAAATTATAATTCAAAAACATCGTGTGCTTTATTATTTACAATGTGAATGTCAGTGAACTGTATAATAAACAATAGATACTTACATGTATATATGTATTTTTTTCCAGAGTCAATTTTTAAAAATTTACCACCGATGAAAGTTTACTACTGATCAGAGCACTTTAAACATAAAATGTTTAAGTCTTATACTTGCATCTACTTCCTCTAAGGCAGACTGATGTTATCAGAGTAGCCAGGTCTAGAATAGAATGGATCCTATTAGTTTAGAAATAAAATCACTGAGCTGGCTTTGTGGCTTGGCGGTTAAGGTAGCTGGATCCCACACATCCAACCCTGTGGTTAAAGTCTGGGACCCAGCAGCTTGAGAAATATGATTGGCACATTGCCCAAAACCCTGAAAGGAAGGTGACATTGAGAAGAAGGGATAAGACCATCTATGGGGAGTGTTTTCTCCTCTCCCTTTCTCTGTTTCCCTGTGTTGGGTGCACATGTTCCCTGGTCAAAAGTAGAAGAAAACAACGATGATCGCCATCCCTTAACCACTCTCTTCTCACCTAATGAAGAAAACCAGGTGAAGAGTCAGGCCCTTTTCCTTTCCTTTCAATGGTCTTTTCTAAAAGATCCCACTGTGCTTTCTGAATTTGCCTTGATCAAGGCTATTCCCATCTGCTACACATGAGTTGTTTTAAAAAATTAGCAGAGAGCACATCCACTTGTCAGAGAAAGAGAGAGAGAGAAAATGGGTCTCTCAATGAGGCACAGTCATGCCACAATTCTTTTTCCTCCATTTCTCCATCCCGTCAGGATTTCGAGCATGCACACATATATACTGAGCATGTGTTTCAAACCCCTGGGCCAGGATTCAAACCACATTGGGCTATGAGGGATATGACTACTTACACAGAGGGCTTAACTCCTGCTCTATGGAGCTAGCCCTCAAACATGAATCTGTATCTACAAACCTCAAAGGAAGGAGTCAGGGTTCTGGCTATTGTCCGCCTTAAAAGAAATTCTGCCTCTGGGGCTGGATGATGGCATAGCATGAAACACAATGCTCTTTGAGTCAGACCGCATGGGAAGGTTTGGGGTTGCATCCAGAGACCTCCCTGGGGACGCTAGGCATGGTGAAGCTTGGTGATCTAGGCTTGGTGAAGCAGAGGGCGGATTGCCACCAGACCCCCATCAGGGAGTCTCTCCTTTGCTTGTTCTCACTCACTCTGTTTCTCACTCATGGAATAAATAAACTTTTTTTTTTTTAAAGAGTATTCTGCTTCTACTACTTGAAATGATACAGAGCTGGATGGCCAGGGAGGAGATGGAGTAGGTAGAGCCCTTTCCAATTCTCCCTAATAGAATTCAAGCTTTAAATGCTGCTGTGTGTTTCGGAGAAGGGGTGACACCTAATTCCAATGGTTTTCAAGCCCTTGACTTGTCAAAATGTCCTCCTTTTATGTAAGTTTCAATTTTGAAATGATTCCTTCTTTGTCATGAGGAGATTCACTTTTCAGAAAACCAATTTAGAGAAATAGGTGATAAAGGTTATGCTTAAATCACCAAATAATCAATTTATGTAAAATATTTTCCATTGAATTTATTAGGGGCTCATAGAATTATTTTGAAAAAATAAGCCATCATTATGTTAAAGAATTGAATATTATTATGATAATAAATTAAATTTAAAAAAGATTTTCATGGGGAAAAAAATCATCCTATAGAAGAAAGAGAGTGTATTATAAACAGAGAAAGAAAAGACACTGAGAAAAATATGTATTTGCTTTCAAATTTATGTAAATAGGCATTTTACTATGTACACATAGTTAAATAAAAACATGGAAAAAGAAATAATTAAATATTATTTTTGGAACTTCTAGATGGTTAGCTTGTTGGTGGATTAAACATCTATATAGTTTGGTTTTGAAGTTTAGCAGTGTTCGTAATACTTAAATGTGATGTGATTTTAATAGTTAGCAACTACTTTTCAAAGGCATAACTTTATTTTCAACCAAAATAGAAGCAAAACACCCTTATATATCTGTTCCATGCATGTATTTGTCAAAGTATTTTCATATATTTTATCTGCTTTGGTGCTTAATAAAATCAATGACACATGCACAACCCATACTATTATCTTTATTCTAGAGCAGATAGGATCTGAGGTCAAAGAAGGTCGTTAAGTGATTTATTTAAGGTTCTAAAGAAAGTGGCGAACATAGAGCTCAAGCCAAAGTCCCAGTCTTCAAGCCAGGCCACTGCACAACTAACTTAGATGTCTATATTTAATCCTCCTTTCTGATGAAATTTTATCTCTTGAGATGGATGAACTCCAGATGTTATTCAGAAGACACTTTTAAAATCACTATTTATATTGGGAACCAGCAGTTAGCATAATGACAATGTCGCTGGGCTCCCACGTAGTCGACCGTGGTTCGAGTCCCAGATCCGGTGGCTTAAACTCACGCTGGGCGTGTGTGCGTGCCCAGGATCCTGAGAGGAGAATGGAGGAGAAGGGATTGTGACATGGCCATCCTCTCTGGGGGGTGATTTCTCGCTTTCTATCTCTCCGTTTCTCTCTGTCTGGCGAGTGCACATGCCCTATAGCTAAAACCTCTCCAACAAA